ATATCCTGAAGACCATTTTCTGAAGATTTTTTTTTCAGAGCCAGGGACTGAACTCAGGCCCTTGCACTTGCCTGACAAGTGCTTATTCTACTGAGCTATCTCTCTGGCATGAAGATCATTTTCTATCATAGTTTTAGTGCACCTGCCTTTTGCTTTTGTTCTTCTGAGACAGCCTCTCTCCATATGCAGTTCAGGGCAGCCTTGAGCTCTCTGTGTAGCCCAGGCTGACCTGGAACCCACAGTGATCCTCTGTCTTAGCTTCTGGAGTGCTAAGCCGTGCACCACCACACCTGTCAGGCACACTTGCCTTTGGGCTCTGACCTGTCACACGAAGGCAGGTATGGAATTTCATTTATTGCACTATGTCAGCACTCAAAAAGTCTCAGGTTTTTGTAGCATTTTGAATTTCAGATTTTCAGATGAGGGGTGAACCTTCACTGGTACATGAAACATCATGGCAGAACCTTGAACACGTGATGGCAGGTGAGAAAAAGTTGGTCAAAACACAGCATAGGTCTGGCCAGATAGCTCAGTAGATTACAGCGCCTGCTTAGGCAGGTGCAGGGGCCAGGGGCTTGATCCCTCAGCATGCCTTGCCAGCCCCACCCTTAAGGTACACTGAGACAGCAATTGAGACTGAGTGTGGTGACATGCACCTGTAATCCCAGCAGTTGGGAGGCTGAAAACAGGAAGATCACTATGAGTCTGATCTGTGTAGTGAGACCCTGTAGATCCTGTACTAAATACATTTAAAAAAAAAAACCCAGCATATTGTTTTATTCCATTTACACCAAAAATCGAGAAAAGCCAAACACACAGAAAGTGGTTTCATAGCAGAGCTGCTGGGTTGTGGAGGGAGCAGGCTTCAAAGGGGATGGTTGCACAACTATGTACATTTGATGAAATCACTGAATGATACATTTCAAATGGATGAATTGTGTGTTACGTGGGTTAAATGTCAATAAAGTGGACTGAACAATTTCAATGACAAGATCAATGTGTATCTCCTATAACAATCACTAAATAAGGCTTCAAAAATGTGAAACACATAACGACATACAACTATGTATGAAAAAGACTAGGAGCTGCTGAGTGATCTTTATAAGGAACAACTTTGGTAAGAAATGGAGACAATAGCACCATTTTGGAAACTGGTGAGCATGCCAGGTCACTGATCTAGAAGCTCTGAGAAGCAGGATCTGTGCTGGGAACTTACCAGAGTTCTAAAGCATGAGGAGTTGGCACACTGTGACACGGAAAGGAGAGAGACA